AATCGATGCAGTTGAGGTAATGTATAACTGTCTTTGTAGGAATGTAGTAATTCTTTCCACTCATCTGTGTGACTTCATATTTAATTGATCTTACATATCAATGTGAAAATATTGATCGTGTAATTAATTGATGCCGCTCTATGTTTGTTTTTGAATAAGCATTAGTTTTACATGATTATCAACTTAGCGACTATTTCAAGTGATCATGCTTTCAGGATATTGCATTAAAAATGCATTAAATGTATCAAAACACCGACCGTTATTCAGACCTACACTGTAAGAACTACTAATGATAGCATTTTAACTTTTAATAATGCAGAGAAAGGTACAATAATAGAAACATTGGTTTGTAGGATTTGAAGAGTATTAATTTACTCCTTTGCTCACAAGTCTTCTAAATCACAGTAACCCGAGGTTGATAAAATAATCCACTGCACTTGATCAATAATATTGGGCGGTTTTTTCCTCCTTAATACCTAGCTATCTGCCCAATATGCACACAAGGGCATGGTTTATAACGTTTTGCTCAGAAAGGTAGTAAAAGGATGCGATTTATTTTCTTGGAGGTCAACTCTCAGAAGACGATCGCAGCTATTCTAGACTTCCTTGACAAAACGCTATCCAAATTGGACAATTTGATTAATTATGGAATGACATGCGGTCATGTTTTGGCCTTCTACCTGCTGTCCCCGGTATGCGAGATGCACTTTATTCTTGGACGATACTGGGAAGAGCAACACGTTATGCAGTGATGAAAACTATGAAGAGAATATTCGTGTTATAGATGTTGTTAGAAAGTATTCATTATTGTAATGAATAAGTGTTCTTCTGTTGACATAAATATTTGAAATGATTTGAAACTGCCATTGTATTTGTTTACATTCCTCTCTATTTTGAAATGAAGATGCGCATTTGAAAAGAAATGATTGCTATAAATATTAATTGTAGGGTAAAATAAAGAATTCTGCCAAAATGACATGCATGATATTAAACAATAGATTGACTGAGGAAAATATCATACCGAGGGAAATACGAGATGGTTTGCCTCATTCTTAACTTACGCATCGTGTGCTATTTCCATCGAAATGTTAGTCTTTGTTGTTGTCTTTGTTGAAATGTTAATCTTTGACCAAAAAAAAAACACCGTATATGTATATAAAAACACAGTTAATATGAGACTAATTTTCATGTGTTCTGATGGCAAAAAGACTGAACAGGGGCAATAGGATTTTAATGTATATCAAGCACGTTCTAGGTGTAGTTCAAATAGATATTTCGTGGGAGCTTTTGATTACTGTGTAGGAGTTACAAAATTGCTATAGCATTCATGAAAAGATTGTGTAAAATAGTTCAGGATAGTGTGTCACAACGAAAACGATACAACTTTGTTTACTTCTGCAAACGGAATGTTGTCTCTGGTGGAGAATTTTTTGTTTTAAATAAAAAAAAATTACGCGTCTTGTGTGAACAAAGCCTGGGTTTACCAAAAGATAGAAACTAGATTGAAATAGAAGTTATTGATTTTTTTTATGTTACCTACTCTCTTAATTTCTAGGACTTAAATTTTAAATCCATTTTGAGACTTAAAATATTTCAAGTCTTTAAGACTTAATAAATTGGGAATTCGACTAAAAGTTTTATCGAAACCAGCTTCTAGATATAAATCTTGGAAAGACTTAAACTTCTCGCCAATAAGATGTGCATATTTCCAGTTGCACCTGTTGATGACTGACTGTTGGCATATTTCCAGTTGAACCAGCTGACACCAATTAATTTGCATATTGAATATGATGGGGTGCGTGCAGATCTATGTTTTTTTAACAATTTTTCTGAATTTACAGCATATTTCTTAATTACTGATGATTTAGGTATATGCAATTCATTTCGAAAATACTACAAATATAAATTACAAGTTATTAGGACATTTCGCTACTTCGTATGAATTCCATTTAATTAAACATGAATAAGGGAAACATTAACTATGAACTAAAATAATTTCAATAAAATACAAGTATATGAAAAAAAAAATCGATTAATTAAATTATGTATAAGTCTACTTATTACCGATGCCTTTACATTGATAATACAGACGTACCAGTATTGAAGTGTTGTTGCCGTTCAATTGGTTGGAAGTTTTACCAAATGGTTCTAATGGCTTAGCTAGACCAGTAAATCTAAAAGACTTGAAATATAAATACAATTGACTTAAACTTTAAATCTTTCAGGGACTTAAAATTTTAAGTCTTAGCTTAGATTTATTTTTGAAATGAATCCAAGAAAGGTTTAAAATAAATATTAAAAGACTTGAAATATAAATCCAATTGACTTAAATTTTAAACCTTTTCAGGGACTTAAAATTTCAAGTCTTAGCTTAGACTTATTTTAAATCCCAAAGGGTTCGTCACTAATATCAGTCTCTGTTAGATTTAAAAGTAAGACTTTAAGATTAAAAAATAAGACTTTCAAATTTAGAGAGTAATTGTTATACTGGTGATGGCCACATGGCTGTAGTGCTGTCTCGTTGCAGAAGTCACGGAAGAGAATTTTGTGTAGGGGATTCGGTAAATCAGGTGATGATTGTTAAGGGTGCATCTCTTGAGATTCCTGAGATGTCTCTATCTGATCCGTAGAAACCTGGTTGATTTACAAATATTTTTTCATCAGCTGCCCGTTGAATTAGTTGTGTGATATAATTTTTTACGAATAGAAACATATTTTCAAAACGCGATCCTGAATTTCAATCATTGATTGATATCAACATTAAATTCCTTCCTTTTAGTAACAAGTAATTCATATAGAATACAAGACAATGCAAAAAGCACCTTGATTAATGAGGATACATCTACATGCTGACCATATGAATGTTTATCCCTAGAAATCCGTGATAACCATACCCTTTAGCTGAAAATGACGGCTTATAAAAGTACTGAATCATGAATTATAAAAAAAAACAGTTGATAGCACGATCGATTCGTGTACCTTCCGAGGAACATAGTTTAAGTCTCCCCCCTAAAAAAAAGGTGAGATATTGTAAAGAGTTCAATGATACAATTTTGAACGCTTCCTTGGTAATTGCACACGTTTACAGACGCGTGTTGAAACCCCACAGTGGCACCGTGGTGCTAGGTCGTCACACCGAGTTTTTATTTGTGGGGTAGTTTAATACCCCTGCCAGTCCAATCGAGAGTCTTAAGCTATAACCGTCACCGTTTGGATAATATTTCGAATCGATTTTTGCATGAAGGAACTGTGAGGATTTTCCTGAAATCAAAGTAAATGTCTTCAATCTTTATTGAAGTTATCGAAGAAGCAAGTCTTGTCACGAAAGTGTGGACGTACCCCTTTAGCTCTTTCCTTGCTCTAATAATTGATTGATTCTGGTTTAAAAAAATAAAAGTGAATGGGATGGTTTGCTGTGGGGATAAGGATTCTCACAAGATATAGTATTTTAACACATCGGGCGTGGTTTTAGAAAGTTCTTGCCTACTTGTACAGTGATCGATTCGCTTTATTATCATCGATGCAATCGCTATTGGCAAGTCGAGCGCTGGATGACTCAATAGGCGTATACGCTTAAAATATATTAGTAAACGTCTTTCGGAAAGGAAAATAATTATGTTTGATTTGCCTCTCGTGCTTTCATTGTAAACAATTGAATTTCAATATAATTTGGTTATTCTAATAAAAGCATCGAAAATGTATTAATCACACTTCACGTGGTAGTCATCCCCCCTTTTTTCATCCACTAATTACAATTGGTATCTTTTAAAGATTTGTTTCAATACAGATACCGTTTAAATTTGTAGGATGCTGTTATAGACCGGGGAATTTCTTTATTAAAGGAATAAGTCATTTCAGGATATGCGAAAAATTCAGCTTTTATTCAAAATTATGATTTCTGTGATTGATGAGCGGAAGGGTATACCGAGTAAATTTGCTGCTCTATGGATCAAATACGTCATAGCTTTCACAACCTGTTATTCGTAATTTCATTTACACTAAAACAAACGTGTCGCTTAAAGCTAGCGATATTTCATTTTGCAAGCAAATCTGTAGTTTTAGCAAATAGTAAGAACCATCTTGCTGGAAATATTCCATTGATTGTGCATGGCTTCGACATATTTAGAAGACAAATATTTATCATTCAGCTCAGAGCGAGTCGAATTGCACTCCAAACATGACTGCCATGAAATGATTTTCTTTCAGCCAGCTCGCCCTCAAAATTGTTCTAGGTTGCATATCATGATGCGAAGCTTCCTGTTTTTTCTTCTTTTGGTTGCTGTTTTGAGAATATTGTGTTTAAATAAATATTTCACGCGGTGTTTATGTAGTACAATATACATTAAAGGTGCAAGTTCTTTCAACACCAAGTAACTTCTTTTCTATTTGCGTTCAATCACTGACATTTCGCTTTACAAAAATGAATATAATGTATACAGTATCCATTGCCGTCTATCTTTGTAAGCATAATTATCTTCACTGTATTCGTTTTCCTTCATATAGAATTTTATATGTGTGTGCGTTATAAGGCCTCTACGTTTTACATTGGCCTTTCACCTTCCTATTTCCGTTCACCCAAATTTTGATCTCAGATAAATCGTGAGTCTAGAATTCAATGAAGCAAATGTTCCCTTTTCAGTTGCAGTAGTTAAAACCTTCTTGCATATCTTTCCCTTGATACATTATCAAACACGATCATAGTTGTGAAAATGTAGATAATCCTCTTGTTTCTTCATAAGAGAATAATTTAATAATAATCATGTAAACTCGAAATTAAACATTTTCATGTCATCATGGCCATTGAAACTATTGTTATGAAATAAAAGAAACCCATACCGAGCACCCTACCGCCAAGCCGAAAACACGTAAAGCGTGCTTGGCGGATAACGAATCAACAACAGTTGATTTTTGTATCGAGTCAATTTTCTGTGATGTGTGCGTGTGCGTGAACTATGTGTGTGTGTGTGCCTGTCTGTGTGTACCTGTCATTCGGATGCGTATGCAGCTAATGCTTAGGAGCACACATCCTTCCATCGAGCTTCGGTGTTGCCCTATCGTTTTTCTCTTTATTTTTGTTCGATTTATTTGCAATCAACCTTTCACCTACGAGAAATACTTACTTTAACCCGTACGAGATTTCAAAACGACTTCATTCCTTTCTAACTTTAACAGTCGGCCTTCTCCTAAGACGTCTGCCCGTATGCAACGGTTCGAAGTCTATATCATTTACCTCTTCGTGTCTTCTTATCTCTGGGATCGAAATCATTTCAGTCGTATCTTCCGACTGCCAAGAGGATTCTGGTGGCGCGTACAATAGATGATTGCCCCTAGAACTTCTACAAGTGAATTTCGTTGTTCTTCTTAACAGGTACTGTATATTAAAGACTTTACATCTATCTTAGGTTTTTGTTATGCTATTCAGATTTTGTTATTTGTGCGATTCGACATTATTACTGCAATCTTGATTTTTGTTTTTGGAGGGATAAACATTTAACTCTATATTCTCACTCACTTGCGTATCAACATCGAGAATTCGGAGTAATATTTTAGCTTGATGCCCTTTAAAAAATAAAATAGGAATGAAAAAGCAGTTTTTAATCAACTGTCTTCTCTAGGTCTAGTCTATAATATTTATTATACATAATGTAATTTACACTAATATCTTCAATCGGGGTATACGTTCGCTGACGTCAGCAAGGAACGAATTGCCATCTGCTTAAACATTAGTGTATCCATGCTAATGTTTTTTTGATAATTAACATTCTCCCTATAATGTTTAAAATTTAAATGTATTTAGTTTTTGACCAAATCTGTCTTCAGTATGCAAAAACTGATATATCAAATAGATTTATGATAGGCCTAATAGGGAACATGTCTTCGATGTTTTGTGACTTTAAATTCTAACCTTGTCTTCATATTGAATTTTCTACCAATTAAGTCGAGACATCTTTTTCAATTTATATCGTTATATTGTAACACATCCGCTTGCTCCTTCACACCTGGCAGATAAGAACATTGAGGAAAATGAGTGATCACCAGGGGCCTATAGGGAAAAACATTTGAACATGGGCATTACTTAGAACAAGGATTTGATCAACTGCGTTTTCATGATTCGAAGGTTGATCGATGGAGGAGTTGATGTGTCTTGTCATGTGGTTTCATCACACAAACCGTGTTAAATTCTCGTCAAAGCGTTTTAGACCAGAAGGGGGTGATGTCGGTGAAATACTCCGTAATCAAATCATCCTATGAGGGTGAGAAGGGTCTTACTCCCATCATTGGCTTCAAGTCATCTTGAAATTCCTTGACTTAAAAGCGATAAGATCCGAGAGTTTTCAATTCATGCCGTATAACGTTTTTTTCTACCATGTTTAGAGTGAATCAAAAATGAAAAGTTTGATGGCATGAATTTTGTTGGTAAATTAACATTGTTTTGACAGAATAGCAGTAGTTTGTATTATGATATCACAATTCAACGCATTTGAATATAAATTCAACTATTGATTTCTAGCCGTCTTGTAATGATTCTACCAGAATATTTGAGTCTTTGACTTACTTCACTGACATGTTTAAGTATAACCCCCTTCCAATTTAGCTATTTAGATATTGACCCATAAAACATGGTAATACAATGATGATATTCGACCAATATGTTTTAATGCGATCTCCCTCCATCATTAACAAATTATTAAAGTATATTTAGGAAGTAACCCCCTTCCCCGCGTGTGTCTGCAAATTTCAAATGGTATTTTGACATGGTCTCCTTGGCCTTCAACTAAGTAGAGCATCCATGCGTATTGAATACTTACTGTGTAAAGATATTTTTAAAAAGGTGTAAAGGTCTTCAGTTCCTCACACTTCATTTATTCTGGGAAAACGCTAAGTTCCCAATGGTCAGAGGCTTCACGTTAAGCATTGATCCGGCGTTCACGAACTTTGTTCTTGTTTTTCGCCAAGGGATTAGGTGTGACACCTAGCTCATCATCTAAAAGCTCGACACTTCATCCACATGATAGTACCATGAGTAAGATGTATAATGTATCCTAAAGTCAAAGATACCTTGCGGCGCTTACGGTCTTTATAATACAGAGTATGGTCAGCGGAGAGAGAAAACAAGGAAAAAAGAGGAATGTATGTTACAATTAGAATGCAGCAATACGCAGTATATAAAATGAATGAATTGCCAAAGGCAATTTTAGGGTTTTGAGGAACAATAGTGATAGACGCTAACATCTGTTTGTTTAGGTTGAGGTGGAAAGCAGTCATCAACCATATATTTCCAATGTTGTTGAGCTTAATCGCTTTACGTTTTGCTCATGCGCACCTTTTCACGTTTTATTCCAGACTTAAGTACATTTTGGTGAGCGAGGCGAATCGTCGAATAAAGCAAGGTAGCCATTAACTTTGTATTTTGATGTAGATTTTAGCCTAAGGGCATTTCTGAGCAATGAATGGATCTTTATCCGTAAATAGGCCGCCGACAGTTGGCTCCCAGCGACCAGTTGATATCGATGGTTAGAAATCGACGACCTTTTGCAGAATTTCCGTTTCAATAATCAGGAGAGCAGGTAATGTCTTAGTGTTCTCCGGACACCCTTATCATACGATAAACGAAATTGACTTTGACAGGTTCTTTCTTCATTCAAATACTGGAATGAAAGACATTGTCGCTTTAAGCCCTAATTCATAATATGTACAGGAAAACATAAATGTCATGTCCTGTCTTTATGCAATTCCAACAAGAAGAGATTTATCACTTCTCTTGGCGAATCCTTTTAACGGAAACCTTCCGCTGTTCATATACGATTAACATTTCAATTGTTTTATAGATTTTACATGCAAATAGAAATTGGAACAGGAGATAAATAGTTTTGATAGGATTAAGCCTAAACAGGAAGTTTGTGCAAAAACCGTTGAAAAGAATTTAGAAAAATATTATATACAACGTTCTTACATGTATTATACATCAATATAATGTAATATTAATACTAATGATAACAATGGTGCTATAAAAGAAGCGCTTACCACCGACGTTTCTAACCTTAACCTATTTATGTAACATATAGTTATATTTTTAAGAATGTTGTAGATCTTTGTTCTGTGGATAAAGCAAACAAAAACCAGACTATGCGGTAACCTTAGATCACCAGAGAATAAAGAGACAAAGACATGATGGCTTTACCGCTTAGCGCAGCGGTTTCCATTATTGATATCCCGGGGTGAACGTGATTAACGAATCATTAACATGTATTTCCCATAAATAGAAGGCCATCTGACACCACGTCAACATTTTTAGTGCCGCACATCAGAGCAATCGAGAAAGGAGATGATGATGGAAACCTGAAGATCAAATTACGATGCGGAGACAAATAAGATTCATGAGAGAAAGCCTCACAAATGATGTTCGAATTTAAGCACGATTCCTATCGATTGTACTAACAACGCGTTTAAAAGGAAATTCTGTTCAACGGCATTTAATGACCCAATTTGTCACGCCTTTGGCTGACGTTACTTTATCATACAATAGCTTCCTTAATGAAGCAAGGTGTGACCCCTCTTCCAAGCTGGCGCAGTTAAGCTTGTCACTCACTTTTGTCTCCCGCTTGCAGCTTCCAACTGAAATGATTAGCTCATGATTGGTTTTCACGACGGGTTATTTTATATGGTATTAGAGGGGCAGCATCTTCATCCCATCTTTCTTGATTCCATAATGGCGAATCGGATCCTTGATTTCATTCTCGCTTTGATATCACATTCTCGGTATTCTCAGAGACTAATACGTAACCCAAGAAAGTTGGTATAATTCTGGTGTGCACTCGGATGCTTTGCATGGTAATAACGCTTGTCGTAAATTCATAAAATCGTGCATCACTCGCATTAGCATGTTTCATAAACCACCTGATGCCATTACGCAGAGATGTTTCCATATCTTTTGCAAATAACGTCTTTACGGCATAATGTAAACGTATCCTCAATATAGCCGTGATACGAATGTACACGTATTTGTACCTATGATCGTTACTCCGGCTATGCACTTGTCACTCGATTAGAGAGGCGCTAATTATGATTTCTTTCTTTAAAGGAATTTTGAAATGTGCTTATCTGTATTAAACCTTTTCTTTTATAGCCCTTCTAAATTGTTGGGAGCCCGGAAAATTTGATGCAAATATTTCACTTATTAAGTTGAATCATAATGTGAAAAAGGATGTCATGACACATTTCTGTAAAGATTTCTGCACAGATCCCACTCCAATGTGGGGCTTTAACCTCATCACTTCCTTTTCTGCAGTGTCTAAGGAGTAGTTCATTGAGCATCCTCCTAGATGCATCATATTTAGCATACTTGTTTTTACTTGTATTCGTGACCCCTTGTGGTGCTAAGGTAGTTGAATTCATTATTATTGGCAGAGGAAAAAAAAACGTATCCTTATGTGTGCGTGCTAAGAATAATTGTCTTAGTACACTTTTTTGCGAGACATAAAGGCAGACAATCCAGCTTCATACAATTTTTGCTTATACTATCTCTCTCTCTCTCTCTCTCTCTCTCTTTCTCGCTCTCTCATCATTCCCTCCCCAACTATCTCAATTAACGGAAATCATAGTTTAGGCAGAACCTTTGGGATTATTTAATTAATTTCAAAAAAAGAAATCAGATAATAAAAGCGTATCAGATATTTTGCAGTATCGAGTAACAATTTCATATCTTCATTAGATATTAAATTTGATCTATGATATTAGTAAATATGAATGAATTACATTCCCTTTAATTTGAATACCAAATTGGATGGTTTTAACTATGGTTAACAAAATCAAACGGATATTACACAATCCGACTATGATCTGATTCTGAAAGAAAACGTAATATGATTAAACATGGAAATATATGCATGCAATCTGATTAAAGTTCTTTATTATGATGTAAGTAAGAAAACATAAAAAAACTTAGTTGTATATTACTCGGATACGAATCGTAGTGACGTCAAAACAGTCGAGTGATTATAAAGCCCGATTCGATCTCGTTTCCGACTTACAAATGGTACAGTAGTTCTACTATTGATCTTCCCATATGTAGGAACTGCAATAGGGAAGACAGGTATTTTTTAATTGACATTTTCAGTAATTTACAGTATTTTAATGTCTTTCAAAATAAAATCGCATTCGGAACAAACAGTGTGTGATGAGCTTCATTTTTAAAGGGGGTGTATCATAACGAGAATATGTGTCTTTCCCGTGGCCTGACTCGGGTCCAATCGGGTATAACGACTGTGGACGACGCGACCGCAGTATTCACGTGCGTGCAACATACCCGAAACCGAAGTGCTAGGAGAACTTCGGTCTGTTTCGCGAACGCTAGCGCGCTGACCGATA